TGACCAATGACAGGACCAGAGGAAGTGGCAGGAAGATGTGCCAGAGCAAGCCTAGGTTGGCCATTAGGAAAAGGTTCTTTAGCCAGAGTGTGGTGGAGCACTGGAACAGCCTCCCCAGGGAGGTGGTCATGGCACCGAGCCTGACAATTTTCAAGAAGCATTTGGACAAGGCCCTCAGACATATGGTCTGAATCTTGTGACTGTCCTATGCTAGGGCAAGAGTTCAACTCAATGATCCTCGTGGGTCCCTTCCAACTCACAACACTCTATGATTCTATGAAAACATTGACAGATGTGAGTTAAGTAGACTAAACACTAATTTCTGTCTTCTGACTAGAATGAAGTCAACTGGTATTTAATGCTTCAAAGTAATTTTGAGGAAATGGATGGGAGGCATGTTAGACTGCTCATATCTCTTGGCTTTGAGTGTGAAAGTAGCTGCTGACCCCTCAGTGCGGGCAGAATGAAAAGCTGTTGTTGGTTTGGTTTTAACTAATGTTTGTGTTTCATTCTCTCACGAAGACTTCCTATGCAGGGCTGGCTCTGCATATAGAAATATTGCAGTTTCTTTTTTACATGAAGTAATTCAGCTTTAACAGCAATGTGAAAAAGGAATAACAAGCATATTTCTCTGTTCTTACTCTCTTTAGGGTCCAAATGCAAATTACATAAAAAATATCTTTTGGAGAACACCTGTCTGAGTCTATAGATCTGTTTCCTTTAGGGTTACTGCAGTAGTGGTTGCTAAGCTGCTTTTTCTGTTGCGTATAAATAGTTAAATGTCAGTGCTGCAGCTTTAGACTTTGTGCTTCATGTCATTAGAATTGTACCCTAAACAAAATGTCATGTTTCTTTCTGTGAAATGGTGGCCCAGCCAAGCCTTCAAATTTTGGTAGTGGGTGATAGTAAAGAAAAGGCTTAAACTGGGTGATACAGGAGATGTTTTTTCCAAGTTTCTAGAAAATGCAGTTAGTCATGCTGTTAACTCTGAAAACAGTGGTTTCAGTTTGTAGCCTAAGTTAGCAAGACCTTGTAAGAAGTAAGCAACAGATGCTTTTTCAAGGAAGTTGTACAAATTTATTGTCTCCTTAAAGCTTTTGAAGTCTTTTCACTACTACATGGACAATTTTAAAAAACAGAGGAACAGAAGACTCCAAGGGTGATAGAAGTAGTATGGGAAGATCCTTATTAAAGGCAGTTGGAGAATGGAAGACTTTGAAGAACATTACCATTGTAATTTGAAAAGATCTTTATAGCTAGGCACAGTAGTCAGTCCTCTACTTAAGGTAGCATACACTTCAGAGAGCTGAAATTTAGGCCTAATCAGTAACAAACAGCATCACAAAAGATGAGGTTCTGGATGAGGAAAACTGATCCAGAGCTTTCACAGCAAGATAACTGTCACACAGATGGCTTTAATGAATTTAATATAGATTTTCTTAATCAGGAAAGGGAAGAACCAGAAAGGATAATTTACATCGTCATTCAACCCTCTGCAGTTGCAGATGATGAAAGATGTTTTTGTCTGGAAGTGTCTTGCTGGTTACCCAAGCTGTATACCCGTGCAAAATTGCCTCATGGCAGTGGCAAATGCGGCTGTCAGCTGAACACCAAAACTCACCATACAAAGTAGCACAGCAAGAGGACAAAAGAGGCCAAGTGTAGGGTATGTTACTCTGACACCGGCAATACATTTGTTTGTTTCCCACATAATATTCAGAGAGCCACGGACCATCCACAGTGAAAAGCAGAAAGCCAGATGCTTTCCCACCTCTCCTGCCAGATCAAAGCCTTACATTGCAGTTATCCCCAACATTCAGAAAAATTAAGGAGAGAGTTTCTATACTCAGAAGTTATGGACAACAATGTTGAACTATGCACAAAGGAGGGAAAAGAATTGCTTTCTGATCCCTACAAGTGCCAGTCAGAGGCCAGTGGCTGGAGGCTATGATATAAATGGCAACCACATCTGCTGTCAGACCATAAGACATGTGGGTTCCTATCTGAAGTTCAAAGGGTTGCTTCTGTCGTATCTCCTGAAGGTTTATCAAGTCCTAAGTTCCCTGCCAAAATTCTCTTTAGAAGGCTATTTGGAACTCCAGCCCTTCAATAATTAGGAATTTAATTCCCATTTGATACTTATTTTTTCAGTTATGTATGTTTGAT